TCTTTATTTAAAAGGGTCTGTCTTTCTCGTGTACGAATGTATTGTTCATGAAGACATACAACTGACACGAATACACAATTTGAGTTAATGGCACGTAGTATCACTAGATATGGAAATGTCGTCCTCTAAAATCACAATCACACAATTTCATCCACTCATAAATATCATTTAAAAAATATGTCTTTATGATGTGACCGTTACCACGCCAACATGATCATCACTTCCATTTCACTCCTCACTCAGCACGGGAACGTGGCGGGCGACGACGTCAAAATGATGACGCAAAGGACTGTGGTCCGTGGATCTGGGATGCGTGTATGCCCAGTGAAGGTGAATGTGGCATGGGGGTGAAGGTAGGAACACGAGAAGGACCTGACTGCAAAGTGTTGTCAAAGACAAAACGATGCCAAGTGGCCTGTGGGAGCGACAGGCAGAAAAAAGGTGAGACAATTCGCCTCTTGATTTCGTGTTGAACGCTGGTGGCGCTGCTTTGGTAAGCTAATATTAATCAATGGCAATTACCATTTCAACTGACCTAACCATCGTTTCTTTCCGCCGAAAACTTCATTACTCATGCTTATTACATACACATATCATATCAGATGTTGCTGTTAACATGTTATTTTCAATTTTTAGTGGATAATTTTTTTCTTAACCCAATTAACCCGCTAAGGTCTTTTGCGACAAGTAGCTTTTTTACTAACAATACTGTAGTTTCTTTTGTACACAACACACGGTTGCTTTGCAAACTATCATTGTCGTAAACCACGACATCTTCACGGTTAATAGATTTATAGTAAAATACGTTTTCAGTGCTGACACAAATGTATCAATCAGCGTTTCCAATTCCAATAGCGACTGACTGCCAGTAGCTTTTTGACACAGATATTAAACTTTCAATAAAACGTATTAGTATGGATGTACGTTTAATCTGCAAACACGTATATATATCGAACAAACACGAGCAAATTTGTTGTTTTTTTCCGTCTTTTACTCAAGATTATTCGAATCATAGCATCTTAACACACGCAATGGTACCGAATATTATTTGGGCACATTTATTTTAAACAAATCTATTCTTTGGAGAGCAGCGGCAAAAGAATGTTATGTTTAAACGCGGAAAAATGGATAGTATAATTTTAAAACCGCGAACGCCACTGTGGTCGCTTCATGTCGTGTTGGAAATGGGCCCCATGTGACGTATGCGACGCGCGTAAAACACAATGCTAAGCCAAATAACAGTTCTTTCGGCGATATTATACTATAAATTTACTTATTCAAACACGTCTTTGCCAGCAAGTGGCATGGAGGTACATTTTGTTGCTCATGCTGAAATACCGCGATAAACAGTATGTGGCGCTGGGGGCAATTCTTATGATGCATTGCGCCGCCATAGCACATCTTTTGGAAGTAGAAGGTACTCATTTTGTGTTTAAAGCTTTTGCTACTGATTTATTTTAGCTTATTTTGCCTATATATACATTTGCTAATTCAGATGGCGTCTTGTTAAAGTGCCGGCTCTTAGCTAAAAATAAATTAAATTCAGTAAAATTGAATAAAATGGTGAATAGCTACAACTTTGGACACTACAGCGTTTTTATTGTTGGCATGTAGCAAGTGAAAATCATTCTTCAAGCATCGACGGCAGAAATCAGATGCGGCTTGGAGAATTAGCAGAAAATAAGCGCCACAGTGAGCGCGCACCGAGAGGAATTGAAGATCTTATGTCATATGCTATGTTTAATATAATGGATTTATGCCATCAGCATACCGAAACAAAACAAAAATGGTGTCTCTCTGGGCAATTGTTTTGTGAAACATGAGTTCAAAATATCATGGAAAAACGGTCAAAATTTGCACATTTTTCTATGTTGAGATTATTATATCTGAAACATTTTGTTTTTTAACAAATGAAATGTTCTACACAATATTATTGATACGAATTATAATATTGTTAAAACATTTCAAAAAATTAACATATAATTTAATCAGTTTCCAAGATGATAATATGTTTACATCCTACACTGAGAATGTCTTACCCACAATGCATTGCATGATATGTGTTACAGTATCTAACGTGAGGCGACTCGCATCAATACACGCCCAAACTGTTCTAAACTGTTGTTAATATCACTTTCTTTCACCGCCCTTAAGTTTGTTTTATTCCAACGCGATGTAACAACATACACGGTAGAATACACGTTGTTGTATTTCAAAGTGAGTTAAAGTTCACGCAATTACCCGCTAACTAAGCATAAGTAAATTTCAGTTTTGTTTAAATTTCAGAATGCAAATACACCGTCGGTGAACTTGCGGAATGTGACTCTTCCATTGGAAGCAGAAATGTAGTGTTACGGCTGAAGAAAGGAAATCCAGACACATGTCCGGTGGAGAAGACAATAACAAAGAGATGTAAACGGGACAAAAATAAGAGGGGTATATTGTTTTACAATTTCTTGTTTTAAAGCGGGGGAGTCGTCATCTGCGCATACGTCAGATGGCCTTAGCGTGTCATTGTTTACAAATAAGCGTCTACCCATGAGCCTTTGCGTTTTTAGCGTGTGTTGTAATCGATTGGGACTCAATTCCCGCTTAAACATTTTTGAGACATACTTTTTAGTTTTGTATAAAGAGCAAGTATTAACAGGACATGCAATGCATGTTGCCATCGCTGCCCTACGTGCGAACTATATTCATATCGTGATAGCATTATGACACTGTCGCGGCGTCAACCCGCCGGTCTGGCTTAACACGCACCCGCGGACCTCAACCAATGTTCCCCAGAAGTGGCGCCCGTCAGTGAAAACACTCACGGTCCGTGGCTTTGGTCTCACCATTTAGTTAGTCTGTGGCACACTCAGCCAGGAAAAGGGTACGTCGGCCCACGTTGGTTAGACCCAACAACAACTACGTCATTGGTAATCACGGTAGTCACATGTTCGCCTCGCACCGAGGTGGTTGTGGGTTCCGAGTCGATCTCCCAACCTAAATATCACGCGACATTAGCTTTAGGAGAATAACTTCTTAACGGACCTGCACGATTAAAACTGACGGCCCAGTGTACTGTTTATGTCTTCTGTGCACGTTAAAAGAACCCATTTATCCTCATGGCAAAGAATGGCAGATTTACAGCGGGTTGATTTCTACTATGTAAGCCATCGTAATCATAACAGTTTGGACTTGCAGATCTGTAAGTCGGCTCTTTGCCCGATAATCCGAGGAATGAATAAATATATCTTGGGAATTGTCAACATTGCCTAATTTATTAATTTTGTTGATGGTCTGTTTTCTAAAAGGGTGTAAATTCGAAAAAGGAGATTGGGGACTGTGTGACACACCGACTGACACAAGAGTTCGCCTAGATACGCTAGTAGAAGACAAGACAGAAGAGCAGGAATGTTCCACGGAAAGAGTCATAGTCAAGAAATGTAGTTTTGGTAAGTAACATGACCGTCACATGTGAGGCAGTTCATCATGCGTAAATTTAATTTCACTTTGCGTTCGCTAAACAATGGTAACTTTAAGTTGTAGGCTGTGTTCGCGACGACACTCGCCCAAAAAATATATGTATTGTTTATTTCACAAGGAGCATGCGCACATATATATTTACCCGGCTTACTGTCAGCATCGTCCCCGTTAACATTGAAATACAACATTTAATTATCGAATAACGAACGAATAATTATACAGATCTTGTCATGATAATAATTGCAATAATTTATTCGAGAATGGAAGACATGAGTTGAATTTCATGTGAAAGGTGTGTTTTTGTTAATTATGTTGATGTATATATGTATTGTACCTTTCTTCTGTCCAACATAGGCTGCAAGTACGAATGGTCTGACTGGGGTGAGTGCGACGAGAATTCAAGGACGAGGTCACGTGAGGGTGTGATAATGCGTAAGAGTAGTCCACCAGCAGATTGTCCCTCAACGACAACACAGTCGCGGTTGTGTTACAATAAAAAAGGCGTAGGTAGGTAAAAGAAGATAATTTTGTTTTCTTGAAAGAAAACACATGAAAGTCGCCAGTGTTAATGTTATAGTGAAGGGCGCTGTAATTGCTGGGCTGCAATAAAAACAAAAGCAATGCACACTTTCGGCGTAGAGGGCTAAACTGTTTTTGCAAAACATCTGATGTTGACGGTAGTGGTCATATTTTCCTAGATATCAAATTGGATATACATGTGCTATTCGATTTACATATATATGATTATCGACCAATAAGAACGGCGGAATTTTGTATATAAGTATATTTTCATACATACGTTTTTGAGTTTGATATGTATGTAATTAGGTTTCGATAAGTAATTTAATTTATCACACAAAGCTAATTAGTTTTCAGATATTCTGAACTTCTGCGAGATCTCACGTTATACATGAATGGCGAACAAATGACTGATTTCATATCATACTTGAATTTCGTTTTTAAATGTAGAAATATAGATTTTTCTGAAGTAAACATTTCGTTGAGTTACACTTAATCGATCAATAATTGCGCAATAAATGGGAATGTTCGATCTCCGCGCGACAAACATATATAAACAAATTGATACTTATATGATAATACATATTTACATATTAAATTTACATATTCAATATTTCGGTTACTTTTCATTTTTTTTTACAGAGAAATGTTTCTTCGGGCCATGGGAAAAATCTAAAGAATGCGTGGATGGTATGAGGACTAAACGGCGTCAGGTATTAGCTGGTGGAAAGCGATGCGAAAAGAAAGCCACGTCAAATCGGAAGTGCAAAGCATGAGGGGGGATTTAAAATTGAACATTATAGACATAAAAACAAAATTTGTACTTTTTTATTGACTCCTTTTACATGATATTCTGGGTTTTTTCAAAAGAAAGACTTTTTTCGTGGGATGTTCACGTACGTCATGTCATGGCTGATCAACTGAACACGCCACACCCGTTTCCATGTCCGTCATATACACATATTTTGATTACAAGTGCATATGTTAATTTTATTCGTACTATTTTTTATTTTACTCAACATATACTCACAGTGACATCAGTAATTATTATTGTAGACGTCTTCAAATTCACGTGACCAGAGTGTCACCGGTATTTCCGTATTACCGATGTATACGTTTTTAAGTTAACAGGAATAGTATCCAAATCATTCATTTTTAAAGGTACTTTCGTTCCACGTAATATAATTGTTATTTAAAAACCAAAAAAAAAATGAAAAAGTTCACAATAAGTAAATAAGTTGATGGGTGAACCATTATTTCTGCTAGGGGCACAGCATGGCATTTACGGGAACCATGATACGCGCATATCACATCATCACTTGATTACGGGCCATGTTTATCTCAATCAAAATGGCCGCTCCACACCGTCAAAAGTACCCGGATATAAATACACCGGGGTCAGGCAAAGGTTATAGGAATGTTCTCCATCTATTACGCTGTAAATATGTCACACTTATTTAGGTTTTGCACATATGCTCATGCGCAGTGATTGGTTTAAGCATAAAAACAACTTGAAGTCGTTCATACTTGAAGATTAAATAATGGTACTGTTCAATGTGTCAATTAAATTTATGTACGTACCTCTTAATAAATAAAACATTTCATGAGTGAAGTAGATTGCTAGCTACGTGCTGGCCAGTAAGCAATAATTGTTGTCAGACATTCGCATGCTAATTGACCAAAATGTAAACAAATGACGTCACAGTGTGACGGCCTTTACTATCAGTAAATGTAAAACAGTTTAATTTAATGTAAAACAATTAAAAACAAAAGAGAAAACATGCAATAAAAGAGTGAACACTTGCTTCTTGAGTATAACTAGGTGTAGTATGTACACATCACTATACTATACTATATAATATAGGAATTAAAGTTCAACTTTTTTAGAAGCATTATGACTCTGTCAACATAACGCACATTCAGCTTTGTATACTAATATACCGGTATGTGAATCATGGTATATCTAGGGTGTAAAATGATAGGCAGCCCAGTTTATAGCTTGCCCAAAGGTACGATTAGGATTTTTAGTTTCTGTCTCATTATTATTTTATCTCAATTTGTCTGAAGTTAACTATTGCAAATTTGTTGTTTGTATTAGGAGTTGCTTGCGTTTCGCTTAATTTAATGTAAACAACATATTGATGAACTGTGCGGAGAATATCTCAACATACCGACCTTTATGCTAGTATTGTTAAGCAGCTACCTATGAGCCTTCGCGTTTTTTTACGTGCGTTGTTATTGTCGCTTACGACTAAATCTCCATGCGTGCGCACTTCATGTGGCGACACCTCTCGTTTAGATACATTCACTGGGAAAAATCAAAAATGTGAAAATTTTAAGAGAAACTGGTTGATTTACAAAGAGAAATGTGCCATGGAGCAGTGCGATGACAGTGATCCGAGTCGAGAGATCGTGAAATATTAGATCCGGAACAAACTCGATATTGTCAAGAATGTGTGTAGAGAATCGCAGGTACTCGGTCCTCCCGTAAATGGCGCCCGATCATCGCAACTTTTTCTTTCTATAAAGACAAAGATGATGTCCGTCCTTGTGCGTGC